TTCCTGCTAATTGTGATTTGAGTGAGCTGATTTAACTCACTAACCCAGCACACAAAAAAAGACTGGTTTTGTTCAGGGTTATTGACAGATGAAGAGTGCTAAAGGTGGCCCAAGGGAAAGGTATGGGGAACAGGGATGAGACAGAGAAAGGAGTGAAACCTCCCCCTTTCAGAGGCAGCCAGATTACCTAGGCTTGTCTGTCTCATGTTCTGCTCTGTTTGTCCATTGGAGTGGAGTGCAGCTCTGTCTTTAGTAAAGGACCAATGGGTGCTCCCTGTGTGTGATTTCTATAACACTTGGGGTGTTAGGTCAAAGATGGGCTATAATGTTTTATGTAAAATAGACATGATCCAGAAACCTTCTTATTTGGATAAATCTTTTATGCAGTAAACTGAATCAATTTGTTTAAAAAGCAAAAATAATATTAGTATTTCTGGAGTTACTACTTTATTTTTAAACAGTTCTATATAAAAACAAAAACCAGTAAATAGATTTAGTGGGAATGGCACTTAGAAACTTCTCAAAGTAGTTTGAGCTGTGGAAAGAGCTATCTGTTGTGGGACATCGATTCCTTGGGGAGGCACATAGAAATCCAGTAATATGGTAGAACCTTTCGAAGTAAGAACACCACACCTTGCTGTTTAAAACAAGTATCTTGCTAATCCCAAGTGACCATCAATAGTATCTTTCTAGTGTCAAGTGTGGGAGGAAGTAGATAATTCAGACTTTCAGGACAGATGATGGTAAGGCTACAGAAACCATTTTCAAATGTGTTCACATGCTTATCTGTAAAAAAGTGAACCTGGGACAAGTGGGGAGTATGACTTGTGTCTGCGTTTTACCTTCCTTGGCTTGCAAGTCAGTCACATCAGTTTGGAAAAATGCTCCCAAATTATCAGTAGTTTATCTTGTCCTTCACATTAAGTTTCAAAGATTATTATATTAATTTTTCCCAGCTGACTTTACCCTATCTGACAAATATGTTCCAGAATGGAAATGTATTGTCGGGAGTTGACCGAGAGATTTGAGGATGTTTGGGTAGTTTCTGGACCTCTGACCTTGCCTCAGACAAATGATGATGGAAAGAAGAGTGTTACTTATCAGGTATGTATGTGTGTTGCTGGGTTAACAGTGCAGCAATATTTATTTATTTATTTATTTAAAATTGACACTGTAGCTTGATAAAACAAAGTTAAACGTCCTAGCACATGCAAAAGGACAAAATGTCCAATACTACTTGGGACAAGTTCAGTAGAGGTTTTATATCTGACCTACAAGTGAAAAAGTATAACTTTAAAATAATTTACTTTATTTACAAAGAGAGATCTAAATGTTAACAGTTTGCAGGAAAAATGTTTTCTGACTTCTATAATACATGACAGTATCTAAACAGAGAGTTGGTGGGTTTTGCTGATGTGTATGCATCTATTCAATCATTCATTGATATATTTTAGAAACAGCACAATACAAAGGTAGTGTGGGTTTTTTCAGAACTGTATAGAGTATTGGAATGCCTGTGCTCCATTAATTTCAAAAGCAGTTGTTTGCTGATATCCCATATGCATCACTTAGATGAGGCCTTGCAACTGAGATTCTGAGTAGACCAAAGTCAATTGAAAGACTTCATTCAAGTTCACTAAGTTTTAGGTTGATGCAGTGTAATCAATGCTCCATGATATTGGTACCGTCCTCTTCCTCCTTTGGTCCCTCCTTTTTATTACCTGCTTAAAATACTCTGAAGATTTAGGATTGACCATGCATAGTGTCTTGAAACCATCACTGATAGGTAGGAAAGGCTATCAAGTTGAGAGGTGAATTTATTATTCTTTATCCTAAGTTACTGCCTGTAAGCATTTGTTTAGACATCTGTAGTATCTGACTATAGTAAAGTATTCCAGGGAGAGAGTATTACCTTCTGCCCCTGCTGTAATGAGATATTATTCTTGTTTTGAGTTGCTAGATGAAAGCTAGCATAATGCAAATAATAAATGCTGTATTTTGCACCTCTTGAAAAAACACTTTTCCTTGAAAATAAGTACTTGGGTCAACTGCAGCTTCAGCTCCTGAGTGATTCAGCTGCCCAACTAGTTCTCTGAGGAGCAGTGAATGAGCTTGCTATGAGCAAGCCTGTTTCAGAGGGATATGAGACACACAGAAGAGGGACATGTTCAGCTTTCAACACTGGCTTGTTTACCGGTGAGATTTAGGCACTATTTCTCCATTATAAACACGCAGCTGATTTCCATTTGATTGAACTTGGAACTCAGTCATGATAGAATGTAATTTTTCTTGTTCACTTTTACCTTTTTACTTCTTCAAAAACTCTCCCTTATGTCCCCACCTGCACACGTCTGTAACCTTGACTGTGATGAAATCATGGCTTTGGATTTGTTGTGGAGGTTTTGGGGGTTTTTTTTTGGTTTTTGTTTTTTTCCCCAGACAATCCTATGTTGTGCATATGAAATCACAGTAATAATAATTTATCTTTTTCATGTTCAGTGGTGGTTCCAAACTTCAGCTCTCACCACATCCTTGTGAGGATGGTGACAACTGTGCTCATTTTCAAGTGGATAAATAAGCTGTTGCTAGGGGATATGACCAAGGCCACATGATAAGTTAGTGGCAAAGCCAGCTTTAGATGGGCAATGGTTCCTTGCCACGCAGAGGGGGAGTGCTGCCTTCACTGTTGCCCGTTATACTTTCCAGTCCTTTCCCTTGTCTGCCAGCACTGATGACTGTCAGATCCTTCCACAAGATGCTTAATTACTCAGTGCAGTAGAAAACAACCCATACTGGATTCTGTATTTGCTTACTGGGCTTGTTTTCTACTCCTGTAGAAAGACAGAGCAGCACACAAAGGAGTCCAGCACTTTCTGGTGACAGCATGAGCTATGTCCAAAAGCCCATAGCTGGGAGCAGGAGGGAGATGTTCCCTTTCAACAGTCTTGAGCTGAGTGTTTGGCTTAGTGTCATGCAGAATGGTACTGTAAAAAAGTTCTCCAGGCTTGCATGCAGCCTGCTGTAATTTGCCTCCTGGTAGCTGTCAGGATATTGTATTTAATTTTTATCCCTAAAAATATATATTGATCTTACATAGTAAAGAATTAAAAATCCTGAGCTGACTTGAACGTTTTATGAAAATGATTTTCCAGGAAGCAGTTGAATCATCTATCAACTGCATCTATCAACTGCTTCACTTTAATCTTGATCATCTTTTTCTAGTTTTTCTCTGGAGAAAGTGTTTACTTAGAAGAGAAAGATTACATTTTCTGAAAAATGATTGTGGCCCTCCATTTTGGTTTTGAAATGTAAATTGTAGTATTCCACAGGTAAAAATAAGAGCAAACACTGCAGCATTCTGCTTTTATTCACAGTAACTTGATACCGGGATACAGTGATGGAATAATAGTGGCACAGAACATCCATGCTGGTTTGATTATCATATCGTTCTGTTCTTGGCTGTTGCCAAGATGTTTTCGTCATCTTTGGGTTTGATGACGACTCTGGTTTTTTATGAATGTTGTATCAGTTTTGGTCTTATTATAAACTATGAAGTGAAGTTCAGTGTGAGATTGAAAATGGTGGAATTGTGGTATTGATGTTTTAATTTCACCATTTGGCCACATTCATAATTCCTTTACTCGGCTTCATAGGGTGAGATTCATTATGTAAATTGATTTGTATTTAAGCTCTATTTAAGTACAGACAATGCTGTCCACAGAAGTAAAATGTTGATTTTGGGTTTTTTTTTGTTTTGTTTTAAATACTAAATTATTAGATTTGAGTCCTCTTTGGCTACGCTCCTAAGTGTAAATAAATACGGACTAAGAATTGTTTTGTTGGTTTTAAATCTCTTGATGGCATAAGTTTTTCTGCTTGCCATTGAAGTTGTCCTTTGGGGAGACAGACATCAGAGTGAAGTGGTGTGTTTTTTGTTGTTTTTTTTTTCTTCTTACATCAACATATACACTTAGAAGAAGGAACACAACCTGTCAAAGCACTGGAGAGTTCTTTTCAAACTGATACTGGAGATAATTGCAGTCATTGCCATTGATTTTGACAGTCTGGGATTGTGCCCCTAAACCAAGAACACTAAATGTTGGCAGCTGAACGAGAAGGGAAGGTACCTCTTAGCTGTCTTTCAGAGTGAACTCTGCTAGGTTCAAACAAGTGACTTAGAAATGAAAGGCTTTTAGTCCTCATTGTTTGGGCTTATGAAGCTGATGTGAGAAGGTATCCTTTTTCTTTGTATGTGCTGTTTAAGGAGAAGTGCTGTAGTATACACAATAGTGCTGAAACTCACAACCTGTAATCTGGCAATGTGGCTGTTAAGGCTGTGATCCTTTCTAAAGTCTTTCTTCTCCTCTGAGACTGGAACTGTGGAAAAAAGAAAATCCAGAAGTACTGTGGTGAATGTATCTGCATTGATTTGTTTCAGATCCTCTCTTTAATCTTAGTTTCCTTGTTTTTGGCTTAAAGGAGTGGTGAAATATGTATCCATGGCTTTATAGGCTGGTGTTTTTCTCATCAGATGTCCAAAAAGGTTATTTTTAGATCACTATAGAGGAAAAACAGAACATCGGTCATGGCATTGTTCCCAGTTCCTGCTTGGACTCCGGTACCATTTGCTGTTTAATTCCAGAAAGGGAATTAACCTTGAACTCCTTAGATGCCAGTGTTGCTCTATCTATTGGCTGAACTTGTTGTATCCTCAGATATGTTCTGTCATTTCATCTGTCTCCAGCGGAGGCTTTTATTGCAAAGAGAAGATTGATGACCATATTGGTATCTGAAAAACATATTTTGAGAATATATGTAAACTAGAATGCCAACAGGAAAAAAATCTGTTCTGTGTCATTGGAGAGGCAGATGCAGGTTTTTCATCTTTGTCCAGATCAAATAAAAATGACATTGTCTTGTTTTATACATTACTCTTCTCCAGTGACCATCCCTTTAGTGACTTTCCTCTGTCAGCAGACTTGGAATTTGAAATACGGATTTTGCAATAATTCTACTACATCATGCTCAATGCTCCACCCTTCTTATTCCCAGTACCATCGTAGTAAATACTAATGTAAGAAGAATTGGCTATGGTTGGTGAATGAACGTACAGTTTAGATAACATTTTAGTTGTTGTCTGAAGAAGACTTTTTTTCCTGTACTTTTTAGTGATATACTGTGTGCATACTGGAATCACGTCTACTGTTTTATTTTCCAAATTGAATGACTAGATTGGGCCAGAGATGCATAATAACTGTACAAGAATATACTGACTTGTCATCTAGTTCTGTGGCAAATAAGTCCCTAGGAGACAAATTGCACCTTTCAAATACAAGATAGTGCTTTATGATTCTCCCCAGTCAACTTCCAGAAGTAGCAGAGGTTTTCTTTCCTGTGTAATCTCATTTAGGTGTTCCTGCTCCAACAGGGGGATTGGACTAGATGGTCTTTTGAGGTCCCTTCCAATCCCTAATATTCTGTGATTCTTCTAGCCAAGATACTGTAAGGGAAAGAATCCTTGGTAAAGGAGGAAACCTGAGGACCACTACTGTTTGTTGGCTGCTCCAAATGGGCTCAACACTACACAGGCACCTCATGGATGTAGGTCCATTATACATGTCCCATAAAACTGATGTTCAAAGGTCTGGATCTCAGATCAGCTGGTGTAAATTACTAGAGCTCTCTCAGCCCTAAATTTAGACATGATGTGCAAATGAAAATAATAGACACTGGGTTAAGATTGGAGGAGAAGAGTTGCCAAAGGTACAGGATAGATTTATGGGGTTGCTTTTGTTTACTGCTGTACCCATCCTGAAGGTTCTTTTATTATAGGAAGAATGATGATATGGACCGTGGTGGATTCACTGTTAACTGACCTAAATGGATTCTGTCGAAGTAGTAGTCTGTCATTATGTAAATACATTATGATAATCAATATACATGCCCTCTTTATTAAAAAAAAAACAAAAAGAGGTTGGGGCATCTGTCTTCTGATGTCATAATTGTGTATCTAGGCACAGCTTTTTTTTTTTACCATCTCTTCTTTCTTTCTTTCTGTTTTTCTTTCTTTCTTTCTGGATTGCCAGATAATTTGTCAATAGCAA